GCCCCGCCCCGCTCCGCCCCGCCCCGCTCCGCCCCGCCCCGCTCCGCTCCGCGGGGGGCGCCCAATCAGCGTCGAGTCTCGGGCTCCTCCCTCTGACCCCCCCCCCGCACGCAGAGGGCGGGGCGCACCGCGGCGCAGGTTGCGTCAGCTGCGCGCGACCCGGCTGCTCCCTACGCGGGATTCGGAGTTTCCTCGCAGCATGTCTGTCATCTTCGCTCCTGACTGGCTACGCGGCAAGGCCAAGGTCAACCAGGAGACTATACAGCGGGTGAGTGTCCCCGAGAGCGGGACCTGGTGTGGGAGCGGCCTGCAGGGGCCGGACCGCGGTGGGGACCGCCTGTGGGCCGGGAAAGGATGGGACCCGGGACCGACCGGCGCCCCGCGCTTCCCCCTCGCCACCTTTCAGCTGCTGGAGGAGAACGACCAGCTCATCCGCTGTATCGTGGAGTATCAGAACAAGGGCCGCGCGAACGAGTGCGTCCAGTAAGTGGGGGCGTGCGGCAGCCCTGGGGGATGGATCGGTGAGAAAAGGGAGCCTGCATGCCGGTAACCGAGCGCTGGGCAGGCTGCGGCTGGAGGATGGCCAGCTGCGATTGCATAGCAAGACTCTCCTACCCCCACCTCCGCCTTCTAAAGTTTATTTACTGATTGCTCAGGACAACATAGTTTATGGTGGAACCTGGAGTTCAGGGTTTCACATAAAGCCCTTGTCAGCTGATGACAGAGGGAATCATCCGAAAGCGAGGCTAAGATAAGAGCCATGGCCTCCTGATTCGTGGATGTCACTTCATCCCAGTAAGGCAGGCCATTCGGTTACCTCACAGTCGGTCTGTGGGAATACACGCGACCAACAAAGGGATTTCTGCGTTAAACCAAGGTTAATTCAGGGTGGAACTAATGTGCTCTCTATCAGATATCAGAATGGGAAGAAACAGTCTGAGGCCCTTTCCTAAGAACTAGGCTCCACTTCTTTTAGAAAAATGTTTTATCGTTACTTAAATATTTAAAAGTGCCATACTATTTTGCCTCCTAAAAGTCACCCACAATCCTTCTCCAAGTTCCTTAATGGAATAGCAGAATTACTATTTTGAGTTACTTACATTTGACTCCAGCATTTGGTTTGCTTTTTTACAGTTTAAACATTTTCTTATTTTTAGAAAATGATTGCAGCATATTCTCTTTGGCACACTGACTCTTGTGAAAAGATAGGAAAGTCCTAGAAATCTATATTTTTTTTTAATATTGTAGAAGTTGTACTTCTCAAGTCTGATGCTAAATGGCAAGCAACTGACAATTGTCATGTGCTCACCTTGATCATAGGATTCCCCATTGTCTCTTTCTCTCTCTCGCTTGCTCTCCTTTTGGACAAGGTTTTTCTCTGTAGCCCTGACTGTCCGGAAACTTAACCTGATCTGTAGACCGGGCTTGACTTTGAACTCAGACATCCACCTGCCTCTGCCTCCCATGTGCCGGTGCTAATGGTGTGTGCCACCATGGCCAGCTGTGGTATTATAGACTGGGAGGTGGTGTGTGATGTTCTGGGGACTAAGAAGCACAGAAGATTCCTACTCTCCTGTGGAGCTGACATTCTAGACTCTAGAATCCAGGGGAAGAAATTAATAGACATGTAATGATATGTGCTTTGAACAGGAGAAAGTCAGGGGCATGGTAGAGGGCTTGGCTTGGCGGTCACGCACAGGAAGCCCTGGGTTCGGTTCTAGCGCGGTAGAGACCAGGTGGAGTGTGTGGAAGGCAGGATGCAGGGTATCTCTAGTAAGATGAGACCAAGTGAAGCCTGATCTTCAGAAACCAGTGAGGCAGCATAAAGGTGCTGGCCATCCTCAGGCCACATCCAGGAGGCCCCAGAGGGAAGCCACAGGAGAGAACAGACCCCGTCATATATGACCAGTCACATAAGACGTAGGAATGACGGCATTTTAAAGAGTTTTAGAACAGTTAAGATAGGGTCTTGATTTAAATTGTGCTGTGTTAACTCTAGCTCGGTAGCGTAAAGCAGGGCTGCAACGTAGATCAGGGGAGTGCGGACACTGCTGTTGTTGTCCAAGCAAAAGAGTCATAGTTGCTTGGCCTGGAGTAGCTGTGGGAGAGGCAAATGAGAATGGGTGAGAGTCTACGTTAAAAAGAAGGTTGGCAAAGCCAAGTGGAGCACTTGGGAAGGCAGAGGGAGGTGGATCTCTGAGTTTGAAGACAGCCAAGGCTATACAGGAAGATCCTGTCTCAAAATAAATAAATAAATAAATAAATGAATAAATAAATAAATAAATAACAGGGTTGGTGACATGTGTCATTCAGTTTGGGGAAAACCATTCCACCTCTGTGGGTAGGTTCTCTTCTAGCTTGCATGGTGGATAAAACAAGCTTCTGATTTTTGTTTTTCATCCATAGGTACCAGCATGTGTTACATAGAAATCTCATTTATTTAGCTACCATCGCAGATGCCAATGCAAACAGTCTTACAACAGCAGTGGAATGATCTCGCAGGAGGCTGATAGGAGACGTGACTGAATGGAACCCATCTCCTATGAAACAGACACAGAATTATTAGCAACCAAGCTGCTTAGAACATGGGCAAAAAGTCCGTGATTCAGTTTAGACTGTGAAGAAAGCTGCTTCTAACTCCACTATATTCTTAGTGTAAATATTTTAGTAACAAGCAGGGCCCATAGTAAACACTGTGACAACAGTGCCACTATCACTGTCAACAAAATCAGTAGTGCTTATTTATCTGATTAACATAATAATAATAAATGATGTGCACTTGAGTATCCCAAAATGTCTCTCTGTTGATGTAGCCCACATCAACTAATGCCACCTTCACACAGCCCAATTTTCTCCTCTTTCCTCTCAGGGAGAGAGGCTGAGGCAGGTATCTCTGCTTGAGGCTGGATTACACATTGAAAAGAATCAAGCAAAGGGCGCATTCAGAACTGAGGCAGAATAAGAAAGATGTCTAATAACCAGCACCAGACACAACTGGGAGGTGGGGCCAGGAGACAGGTCGGCCTAGGCCACATGAGACCCCGAAAAAGAAAAATGTTTTTGTTAGCGTATACATACTAGGTTTAACAATGACATTTTCATACATGTATACAGCATGTTTTGCTCATATTCACCCTATTATTCTCTCTTGTCCCCTTCCTACTTGAAAGCTTGATATACAACATGGATGCAATTTAAAGATATTTTGCTTTTATACTGTGGAACCAGCCAGCCATAAGGGACAGATACCGTATGTATCAGTTTGCTTTCTGTTGCAGTGACGCAGCACCATGACGAAAAGCAGCTTGTGGAGGAAAGGGTTTGGCTTAAATGTCCTGGTCATAGTCCATCATGAAGGGAAATCAGCAGGAACCTGGGGCCTGGAATTGAAGCAGAGGCCTTGGAAGACCAAGGCTCACTGGCTTTCTCTTTGAAAAGGCTGAGAATTTGTTAGGCTGCATGTAGTGACAGTTCTGGAAATTTGGCTTCTTTAAAAAACAGAAATCTAAGATTATGTTTTAATCCCAGATGTGGGGATATGGAGCTGCTTCAGACTGCAAAGCAGCTGGCTGGTTTGAGCTGTAGCAGGAGTGGTTTTACCAACTGAAGACAGTTTCTGAGATTGTGTGATGTTTGGAATTCTGTGAACTTTTCAAAGTGTATGTAAATGCTAGGGCCCTGAGAGGCAGGGTTGGTGGTTGGTGGTCGTTCAGGGGAGTTGGCTGCACTTCCTTAGTAGTGGTGCTCAAAGAAGAAACAAACAAACAAACAAAAATTAGATTTAATGACCATTCTCTCCCCTCTATCCTTTATCTCTTCTAGTGATAGGGGGTGAAATGGGGAAGGCACGATAATGGGTGGGTGAGAAAAAGGAATCCACAAAGCAGCAAAGGCCAGCTACAGCCAGATAGTTTAGCAATCCTAGTGCGGCGTTGTACTGGAGGCCTGGAAGGTCCCTGGAGAGCTGCTGGTCTTCAGTCTCTGTAGGAATCCTAAATAACGTGTATCTAATCCCAACCATAAAGAATGACTCAGCAAGCAGGCAAAAATGAAAGTTTCTTCCTTCCATGTCCTTTTATCTAATGGCTACCAGAAAATGTGGCTCAAATATTCCAATCAAGAAAACTTAGAGGAATGCCCAGCAGCTTAAATTTTAGTGGTTCCAGATGCAGTGAAGGTAACAACAGACCATCACAGTGTGATTCTATGCACAGGAAGTAGACACATGGTTGTACGTAATAGGGTAAAGGGTGAAGGAAATGAGTTTGTAAGGGGTGTGGTTTCACTTCTTCCAGATAACAAACTTTCTAGTTGGTTGATGGTGATGGCTACTCCACAAGGAGAGTGTACTTCATACCACTGAACTGCACTTGAAGATGCTTAAAAATGGTAAAGATTATATAATTGAAGCTGTACAGTTTTATAAAAGCAACGATGTGGCACTAATAGTTACTTGTGGTCACAAAGCCAGGCAATTCATGGGTTAAAATACAGTCTTCAGCAAATGGACATTCTGAGACAGTTTTATCTGTGCAGCCTTGGCTGTCCTAGACTTGCTTTGTAGACCAGGCTGGCCTCGAACTCAAAAAGATCCACCTGCCTCTGCCTCTCCAAGTGCTGGGATTATAGGCGTGCACCACTGCGCCAGCTAGAAGTCTAGATTTAAACATAAAAGGAAGAGCTTAAATTTTCTGAAGAAAAGAGGAGAAAGTTTTCATGAACTTGAAGTCTACACATCCATCTCCCCTTCCCCCTTCTCTGTCCCTTTCCCCTACCTCTTCTCCCTCTGTTTTCTGGTGTGGCAGAGGGAACCCAGAGCCTCATACACTCTAAGCAAGTCCTGTACTCCTGAGCTACACTCCAGCCTCCAGGGATTTCTGAGTGCAGCAGCACCAACTGGAAGAAACAACAACAAAAGGCTGGATCAACTGGCCACCAACATAAACTTTGGCAGACATTCTTCTCCAGGGGCTAGTTCGAAAAAAATGTTTTTGTTAGCATATACATACTAGGTTTAACAATGACATTTTCATACATGTATACAGTATGTTTTGCTCATATTCACCCTATTATTCTCTCTTGTCCCCTTCCTACTTGAAAGCTTGATATACAACATGGATGCAATTTAAAGATATTTTGCATGTAGTTTTTACCCCTCATCAAGGAAACTCGCCTTGCAATAAACAGATTAGTACAGAAAACCACAGCTAATCAAATTGCAGCGTTAGAGAGATCAGCTACAACCTACACATGTACAAAACACTCCCACAGCCGAAGTTTGGGGACCATTTCCTGGAGAGGGGACAGAAAGATCAGAGCCACAGAGTCAGGGAGTTTGCGGTCAGATTTTTGTCTTCTAGTAATACCAGGCCCTACACCTAAATCTCTCCAACATGCCTGCTTAAACATAAGCTGAGCAATAACAACAACATGCCGAACTGGAGTCCTCAACTCGACACAAAGAACCAAGAGCAGCCATGCTGAGAGGGAGAAATGGTCTTCCCAGGACAGAACTCACCAACTGGTCATCTAATACCACATGGTCAGCCACAAAAACATACAAGTAACACACATAGCAAGCAGGGTGTATTCAGCGATGTTATGTATATACACACACATACATATAGCACTAGAACAAAAGGGGTTTATGGGAAGGTCTGAAGGGAGGAAAAGGAAGTGGAATATGGAATGATTATATTACCCACAAAATAAAAGTAGTTTTTAAAAACTAAGAAAAATATTATAAAACTCCTACAAATAACATTTTATTATTTAAAATAATAACATTATTTAAAAATTTTAAAAATAAAAATGAGCAGAAAACAGTCAAAAGCAATGAAAAGCCAGGGCCAAGATTGTGAGAAGATATTTGCCATCTTATATAACAAGAGTTACATTCAGGACATACATATATCTTCCTAAGGAAGTATTTGTGTCCTTAACTCTTCACATTTCCTAGGCCAGGGGCTGGATTTAAAAGGTGAACAAAATCCTGAAAGTGCCAGTTGACAAAAGAGGTAGAGAGAATGTCTAGGACAGAACAGGGCTATCCCGCTGACGCTGAAGGTGGTGGGAACCGACCCTCCAAACCTACCAGGTTTATTTATTTTAAAAATCTAGCTGTATATGTCTTCATGAACTTATGTACACCATGTCTGCGTCTGGGAAGGCTAAAGGGCTACACTGCAATGTAGAACTGAAGTTACATGGTGGTCTGTGAGCCACCCGGTGTGGGTGCTGCCGACAACCCAGGTCCTCTGCAGAAGTAAGCACTCTTGAAAATAAATACATGGTCTCTCCACAGAGCCTGTCCTGTCCTGGAATGCGCTCGGTAGACCAGGCTCACCTTAAACTCACTGAGCTCTGCCTGCCCTTGACTGGGCAGAAGGCAGTACGCAGACCAGGCTGACCGCAGACCGGCCTCTGCTTCCAGTGTTGAGGTTAAAAGGTGTTATCCCTCAGACGTTTCTTTTTAGAATTTTAGTCTGAGTGTTTTGCCTGCTTGGTCTAACCATGTGCAAGCCTGGTGCCCACGACGATCAGAGGAACGCGATGGAAACCCTGAAAGTGGAATGGTTATAAGCCACCAGGGCGGGGCCATCGCTCCGGCCTCCTGGCTGGGTTTCTTCAGACAAGGCCGCCGGTAGCCTCAGGCTGGTGCGAAGCTCAGGATGACCTTAATTCTGAGTCTCCCGCCTTCACCCACCGAATGCTGGACTTGCAGTGTGGAACGCCATGGTTTGGGTTTTGCGTCGGGGTTTTGTTGCTGCGTGGTTTTGACAAGGTCCCAGCAATCCAGGCTCCAGTCTCAGCCTGGCAGGTCTAGTGGGGCACACCTGGTTCCCGTGCGTCGAGACAAAGCGCGTCCGCCGTAGAGGAGCCCGTGCCAACCCCGAGAGACCAGCCCCACTCGCCACGCAGGCTCCGGAAGCCTCGCCTGCACACGGCCCACAGTCACCGGCCGGACAACACAAAACCTCGCGATGCTGCGTGAGCCGTGACAGCTCGCAGACGTCTGCGCACTCGGGATTGGACGCTGATCCCGGGGGGCGGGGCGCGGAGGGCCTCTCGCGATCCTTGCTGCCGGTCTCGCGAGCTTTGGCGTGGCACCGGGCGGCTCGCGCTGCCGGAGGAGGCGGCGTTCCGTTGGTGACGTTGGGCTCCGGCGGCGCCGGCAGGGCGTTCTCCTGCGCTGACTCGGAGCTGTGCGGCCAGGTGAGAAGCCCTCGGGAGTGCGGGCGGGCGGCCGGGGCGGGCGGGCGGCCTCCTGCCGGCCGCGCCCCTGGCGGGCGGCCGCCCTCAGCGCCCTCCTCCTTGTCCGCAGCTCCCGCCGCCGCCGCCGCGATGGGCGCACAGGACCGGCCGCAGTGCCACTTCGACATCGAGATCAACCGGGAGCCGGGTGAGCGGGGCCCGGCCTGCCGGGCGCGGGGCGGGTGGGGGAGCGGGCCGCCGCCGCCCCGGCCGGGCGGGGCCCGGGAGTCCCGCCTCGCTGCTCCGTGCTGCGGGGTTGCCGCGGCCACGGGCCGGCCGACCGCCTTCCGACTTCCCCGAGAGTCCTCGCCCGGAGTTTCCGGACTCCTGGAGAAGTGGCCGAGGGGACGGAACGGCTTGTATACGTGGTGTGGCCCCGGACTTGCGACGTGGATGCGCTGCAGACGTGATGTCTTAGGAATTGCATAGTGCTGAGCCGTTCACAGACACAGATTTCGGTATATGCAGAGACGTAGACACACTCACGCAGGCGTACACATGTAGGCTTGCGCGTACGCAGCATAAAACTGTACACGTGATAAACATGCGTTTCTTTTTTCGGAAGTACTTGTTTCAGGCGCAGAGTTAAGTGACAACATTTAGTTGGAGGTGTGGGGGGTGTGTCCACATTTTCTGTGGTAGATTCTTAGGAGAGCTTGCCCTAGGCTGGAATTACATCAGCGACTGAAACGGAGCTGCCTCTCATGCCTACATCCCGTTGGAAGAAGACAGGAAATAAACAAAAGGGTCAAAACGTGTTCCCTCGAGTGCAGTGTTGGTGAGGTGTTGAGAAAAGGCTCTCTTGAGAAGGTGATGTTTAGGCAGATGGGAAACGGAATCATGCGGATGTTTTTGAGAACAGTGCTTGGTAGGTTCAGAGACAATGCTTGGTTTTTGAGGGAAAGCGAAGAGCCTGGTGTTGCTGGGGTAGAGGGAAGAACTCCGATTGCGTGCTAGAGGAAAACCTAACAGGGTTCTGAACAAAACAGTGAAGTGTTTCCTAAAAAATTTGTTTTTCCCCATTCAACATTTGGACACTTACGGTATCTGCAGTTGATTCAGTATTTGCCGAATTTATTCTGGAGAATTTTTCCCACGGTTTTTTTTTTCCCCCACCTAAAGTATGGTCGTACTCAGCAATAATTGGATAATTAGAAATGTAACTCGGAAGTACAGTGTTTTCCTAGAATGACCAAAGCCCTGGCTTTGCTCCCCAACACCGCAGGTACCAAGCTTGAAAAGAAAGAATTTAATATGGCTACACAATCTTTGCTTAATGTCTTTTTGTTGTTGTTCTAGTTTTAACTTTTCTTTCTTTTTCTTTCTTTCTTTCTTTCTTTCTTTCTTTCTTTCTTTCTTTCTTTCTTTCTTTCTTTTCTTCTTTCTTTCTTTCTTTCTTTTTTGAGACAGGGTTCCTCTGTGTAGACTTGTCTCTCCTCACTCTGTAGACCAGGCTGGCCTCAAACTCACAGAGATCCCCCTGCTTCTGCCTCCCCTATCGCTGGGATCGCAGGCGTGCACCGCTGCACCCAGTTATTTTTTTTTGTTTTTTTTAAGACAGGGTTTTTCTGTGTAGACCAGGCTGGCCTTGAATTTACAGAGATCCGAGTGCCTTTGCCTCCATGTGCTGGGATTACAGGTGTGCACCACCAATGCACAGCTGATTTCTTTTACTCTTAAAACCAAACCCCTACTGTCTGGAGCATGAATTAACCGCTGAGAGATAATGAAGAATTAAGAGTCAGCCAGGAATATAGTTGAGTGGGAGAATGCTTGCCTTAAATACTTAAGGCTCCAACTTCAATTCCCCACACCACAGATAAAGTATCTGATTTACTTTGATAAGCAGAGGTGATACAGAATTTAGATGTACTGATAAAGAAGTGAATACAGCATAGTTTGCTTTTCAGTTACCATCAGTACAAATGCAAGACAGATTAAGTTTTGAATTATAAAACTATTGAATGGATACAAATACAGATTAAAAAAGGGAAAAGCTTTATATTGTGTGATAGGTTTTCTTGGATAAGTCCAGTAAATTGTTCATATCAGAAATAATTCTGTGATTTTGTTGTTGTAAAGGTTCTTAGGGAAAATTCTAATTTCTTTGATAGATATAGGATTATTCCTTCATGTGTCTGTTACTTGATTGGTGGAGGATTGATAGTTTGTGACTTTTAAGAAACTGATGCACTTATCTAACTTGTCAAATTTGTGTGCCTCGGCATTTCCCAGTCTGTAGTGACAATTTCACTTTCACTCCTGATTGGGAGTGTGTTGTTAAGCTGCAGTAACACTGGTCTGACCTGAGTGAGCAGGGCCTAAAAGTAGGGTGGACTAAAGTCTTACGCAAGTCTTTATTCAGAGCATCAGACAGTTTATACTCAGTTCCAGGTTGGTCTGATGCCTGTCACTGGCCCTTAAGATCTGGTTACACCTATCTTTGTTGTGTAAACCTGCCTAAGACATATCTGATTGGTTGAGTAAACAGCCTATACCTGGGTAGCAGAATGGTGTCGGCGGGGCTAAGGTTCCCAGGCTTTGGGGGTTTAAGGTTCGTGGGAAACGCTTGGGAAGAGAGGAAGGAGGACTCCAAGAGAGAAGAAACCTTGTTGTGAAGGGAGGAAGGACTCCAATAATGGCGTGAAAAGGCCCTGATAAAGATTAAAAGCAAATATTTAAAAGATTATGGATGGAAGATACGATGGCATTGGATGCGGGCATTGGATGGGAGATGGATGGTGAGGATATTCAGACAATGTAGATAGGAGTATTTGCCCAGCCCAAGGTAAATAAGGCAGTTATAAAATGTAACAGGTGTCGGTGTCTTATTATTTGTGATAGCAGGTTAGATAATACCGCCATGATAATCTTAGGGCAAATAATAAACATTACATAGCCCAACATCCATTTTACTTTTAATTTACGACAATACTCAGAGTTAAGAAAAATCACCTCAATAAAGTCACAGGACGAGCCACACATGGAAAACATTTCTTTTCGTAGACAACACAGCCAGTGGTAATGAATAATCTAATGTGCACCCCTGTTCACCTGGGAGAGTCCGGAAAGCACATTCCAAGAACAAGTCCATGATTTTGAAGAAACTGAGGTCATGAGACTCTTGTTTTCTTGGAGTCTTCTCACAAACACTCGTAACTCACTCTGTGTTTGGACTGTTCCAACAATGTACGCCTGTTGTCTTTTTTTTTTTTTTTTTAATCTACCTAGAGGCTTAAAAGCTTCAATATTCAAGAACTAGATTTTAGTGTCACTGAATATTTTCTGTCCTCTTTTCAGTTTTAGCAATTTTAATCAACTTTATCAGTTCTTTTTTTATCGTTTCTTTTTAATGCTTGCTTTGCTTTTATTTTTTCTAGTTCTTATTTATTTGTTTGTTTGGTTTTGGTTTTTCGAGACAGGATTTCTCTGTGTAACCTTGGCTGTCCTAGACTCACTTTGTAGACCAGGCTGACCAGGAACTTAACAGCAATCCACCTGCCTCTGCCTCCCAGTGTGCTGGAATTACAGGCATGTGCCACCACACCTGCCGCTTTAAATTTTTTTTTTTTTTTTTTTTTATGTGTTTTGGCTGTGTAGAAGTTGGGTCTCCTGGAACTGAAGTTAGAGACAGTTGTGAACCACTATGTGGGTGCAGGGAATTGAACGCAGAAGAGCAGTCAGTGCTGTTAAGCACCAAGCCATCTCTCCAGCTCTCTTTTCTAGCTTCTTAATGTAGAAGCTTCAGTTGTTGCTGACTTGATTCCTTTTCTAATATAAAGAATTAATTATATATATATAGGAAGTATAGATGTATCCTATAAATTTTGATGTTCCTCAGTTTCTTTCAGCTCAAAATATTTAATTTTCTCTGAGATTGTCTTTAATTCATGACTTTAGAAGTATTTTGATTTCTGAGTACAAATTAGACATTTTTCATCCAGAATGCTTGAAATAAAAAGAAAAAATTCAGAATTCAGGTTTTACTTTGAAATTTGGGAACCTTTACATATATAAAATAAGATGTTTTGGGGGAAATTGTTTCATATATATGATGTACATATGGCCTGAAGATAATTTCATATTGGTAGCTTTGTGTGTGTGTGTTGTGACTGCTACTACATTAGGTAGAACTTTTTCACTTGTGGCATCATGGGGCACTCAAAAAGTATTAGGATTTGGGCCTTTTTGGATAGAGATGCTCAGCCTTTCTTCCCACCTCCTTTTTTGAGACAGGGTCTTTCCATGTAGGTCTGGCTGTCCAGCAACTCAACCAGGCTGGCCTCAAAGTCACAGAGCCTTTTTCTCTGCCTCCAAAGTGCCGGGGGGCTGGAAAAATGGCTCAGAGGATAAGAGTATTGGCTGTTCTTCCAAAGATCCTGAGTTCAATTCCCAACAACTACATGGTGGTTCATGACCTTCTATAGTGAGATCTGGTCCCCTCCTCAGGTACACAGGCAGAATGCTGTATAAAGAAAAAAAAGGTATATGCCACCAGGTCCAGTTTATATCAGAATTTAAAATGAAGTTATTTATAGCTAACAAATGACTTTTTTTTTTCTTCTAACCACCTCTTGTCATTTATGTTTAACTATATTAAACATAATTATTTCTGTTTTTGGTATGCTATTTTGTTGTGAGACTAGGTCTCACTGTTTTCCAGGATGGCCTTAAATTTCTCAAGGCCAGTGTGTTCTCTTCGCACACATTTTTATTTGGACGAAGTTGAAGGGTGTTTGCATCTTGACTCTCCTTTGAAACACTTTGGTGTGCATTTGTAAGTATAGGAGTATTCTTCTGACAGGTGTAGTAGCTTATGT